CCTGGTGGCCAACCAGTCTCCCTGCGCCCTGCTCGGAATCAGAACCCTGTCCAGGGTCCTCCAGAGCCGACTCATAGGGCCCCTCGCTGTCAGAGTCAGGTGGCAGCTCCAACGGCTCCTGCAGGGCCACAACAGAGATCTTTGCTCTATTCCCTGTGTAAATCGCACAGTGATTCACCTACTTCAGTAAGTTACAATGTGATAAGCAGTGACTGAGCTGATTTCTGCTCAGTAATTTTTTGTCCTGCCTATTGTAATCCTCAGAAACTGCCAGGAGGTTATTATAAGCTGTCTAGCACCATGAATAATACGTAGTTGTTATTTACAGCAAAAAGATGTAATGCAAAGGATTTTCACTGTGTTTTGTGATGAGAAAAATTATGTATTTTAAAGATGCTTAAATAACGTTTTATACAGGTTCGTTTGATGAAACAAATGAAAGAAGAACAAGAGAAAGCCAGGATGAATGAATCTAGGAGAAACAAAGAGATTGCACAGCTTAGAAAAGAACAGAGGAAACGAGAGGTGACTAATCAATTGGCAAAATATATCTATTGCATTCTCATGAGATAAAAGTAAATATATTTAAAGTTTCAATTGAAATGGAGCAAGCCGTAGTATTAGGATTTAGCGTCACAGCTGTGGGGAATTTGGTTTACATCTTGAGAATAAGGAAAAAACTGGTTTGATTCTCTAAATAGGATTTTTGTGGAATTGGGTCACGAATGAGCCATGGTTTGGTTTCCCAAGATTTTTTTTCTTGGGATTATTATTTTTAAAAACTGTAAGTGATCTGGAATTGAAAGTGAGGGGGATAAACCATGTTTAGTGCAGGTGGCACTGAATATAAATGTAAGGTAGACAGATGGTCCCACCTATTTTTATTTTTTTTAAATATAATTTTATTGAAAATTGTAAACACAAGAATTTTAAGACTAATACCAACTAAAACAGAGTAAAAAAGAAAAGAGAAAGAAGGGGGAAATGAAAACAGTTGAGAGGTAGCAAAGTTTTTTGATTATTTCCTTCTAATGATGCCATAGTGCTTCTCTGACCCCAAAAGACAGGAAAGGTGAGTTGTGAACCTTGGTTCCTCAGAAATTGCCCATCCTATCCCATATTGAAATATTTTCTGTGGTGATTATAACATTGAAAGAATTGCACTTTTGGTTTATTATGATTGTTCTTCTTTACAGCATCAGCTAAAACTTCTGGAATCCCAAAAGAGGAATCAGGAAATTATTCTACGCCGCAGGACTGAAGAGGTACCAGATTATTTCAGTTCTGCCATTTATATGTAAATTATGATATATTATCTAGCTTTTAAGTCATTAAAATGGCTGTCTATTTTAGGTTACAGCTCTTCGTAGACAAGCCAAACCTATATCTGATAAAGTGTCCGGGAGAGTGAGTCGGAAGCTGAGTCTACCTGAGCACTCAAATCAAGAAGCTTCATCCTCAGTAGACAGTGATGGATCAAAAGGGATCCCGCAACAGAAGATGAGAATACCAGTAGCAAGAGTCCAGGCATTGCCAGCAACCAATGGAACCAAGTAATGCTATGCAAATGCTATTTTGTGTATATTAAAAATGAGTAAATACTCTGGTACTTTTGCCTGTCAGATGAACAGCACAATTTAATAAGAACATTCTTACTCTATGATGGGTTGGGCAATGCTTTAGAGACTAAAGCATTGGAGGTGGCGCAGTGGTTAGGGTGCAGTACTGCAGCCACTTCAGCTGACTGCTAGTTCTGCCGCTCGGCGGTTCAAATCTCACCGGCTCAAGGTTG